CCTGCCACACACTGAGGTAACCAAACCTTTCTGCTCACCTACAAAGAGAGCGAGAACAACAGAGGAGAAACAGGTTTAAAGGGTCAGATCCAAGAACAATAGGAAAAGATGAAAGAGAACGAGGGATTTTGAAGCAAAAGGAACTTTGAACGTGGATGAGACACTATGGGTTGAATAAACCTATAAACCACTCAAATATGATATGAGGGGAAAATTGTATGTAGAATTGGTATTTGTCAGCCCCTTTTGCTACACAGAAAGTCAAACCCAGCGCATAAGGGCTGTATGTGGACTTACCATGCATGTGTAAGTGAAAATTAAAGCAAAAGATTGTTCCAAAAGAGATTTGGATTTTCTGCCCATGCCCAACACTTTAGCTTTAAGCAACCAAAACACCACAGCTTCATTATTGACACCTTTAATCCAAAAACAGTGAAGAGAGACAGCATCGACAATAACCAAGATCCTGAGTTTTCTCAACATAACAATAAGAAATTATGCTGCAAGTGTTGCAGAGAAAAACAAAAGAGACATCTTTGTGGTCCAAGAAAGTGCTGCGGCTGAAAACAATGATTTTATATGTGTGTAACCACAGGATTACACGTCACAAGAAACCAGATGATAACCACTGTACCGCAGAAATATTAACCAGTGAGATGGAAGTGCCCCACTGGCACTCAGCACCAATCAGCACAAGGGGAGCAATTACCAGAGCATTAAATAGTGATAAACACCACTGCACAGTGATCGTCAGAACATCAGAGCTGTCACCGCATCATCCGTCAAAACCTTGCTGCAGGGCAACAGCAGTCAGGTAGTGATACATTACATGGGACAGAAACAGGTGCTACCATAGATTCTAATTACTTTGTTCTATCAATTATGTACAAATCCTTGCATGGCCTGGGGTCTGCCACACAATGCTGCTGTGCCTCCCACTCACTCTCTGCACCATTCCAGTTGCAGCATCATAGCAGGCAGAGCTTTTCAACAGTGCTTTGTGTGGATGCCTTGAGGTGACTAGAAAGGTTTGTTTTTCCAAGGCTGAATTCATACAGATGGAAAAACTTCTCAAAAAATAAAGAGACGAGAAAGAACTGCATATCCCACTGACATCTGAATTCATGCGTTATCTCCTCTCCAGTAACAGGAGTGAATTCTTTCTCTTCCACTCAGCCCTGTAAGCATCAGTTTAGACACACAGGTGCTCGGCTGTTTTTTGTATTCAAGCTGTAACGGTCTTCCAGGCACTTGTGGTTTCTTGCCTTTGTTTTGCACACTCCTCAAGTTTTTCTCTCTCAGCCGCTCAGTGCACAAAAACATTATGCTAATGAGTTGGTAGACATCTGCTTCCAGCTCTGTTTTTCTCCGGGTATTTAGGCATGTGTGCATGTGTTTAAGTTTGTGTGCACATGTGTGTGCATGTGTATCACTCAAAAAAGAAATCTAATTTTACCTTTACTAGGTCAAATCTAAAACAGAGAAATATGGAGACATTTTTGGCCTTGTAGTCAGATGGAATGTCTTCATCATTGAGGAAGATTGTTTTTTTTTTTTTACTTTCACTTTCCTCTCTTGAAACATGAAAAAGCTTCATAGTATGCTACTACACCAAACCTTGTGCCCCATGTGAATAATGACTCACAGCCAGTGCATCATTTAGCTCTGAAGGAGAGTGTCCATGTCCAAAAGGCAGGCTCCAGTGGCTGTATTTGTGCAAAAGTGGATGTTGTTTTTTTCAGCCTGTTTGAGTTTGGTCTGACAATGTTCAAACAAACAGTAAATTTTAGAGAGGTAAGAGGGGGAGAAATAAGGGCCAATAAAACAAACCTAAGTGGAGAGGACACAACAAAGAATCAAATAAAAGTTGCTCTAGCAAAGCTACAAAGGTAAATCTGAGCTGCAGAACAAAGTCAGGCATGTACACTACACCCATTTGAAAGAGGAAGACCAATGTCCTCCATCAACTTATTAATCTGACTATTTATGAGGAAACGTTATCAGTGACAATCAATCCTTTTGTTAGCTAGAATAATGCAACTTAACAATCCCTGTAATTCAACACTACATGACATAATTGCGAACAGCTATAGAAATGCAACAGAGCTGAGTAAACTTTATTTTTTCTGATGAAACAGGGCAAAAAGTACAAATAAGGTGACTCTCTTGAAACAATGACCACAAAGGACACAGAGTGTATGCAAACTTTACATGGTTTACCTATACAGATTAAGACATACTTTGATAAACAAATGACTGCACAAGGGTCTGACTAACACTGGAGTAACTGCACACTATAAGGCAGTAGTAAAGCATTAGTTAATACTAAATTCATCATCTACAAAGCACCGTTCCTACATAATTGCTTCTGCTTTTTTGATCTATAAACACAGCCACAAGGTTTTTGTTTGTTTTGGGTTTTTTTTAGGCTCATGAATAAAATGGTGAAAAATTTAAGTTTCATACTTCCCAAATGATAGAGTCCTCATTTATAAATCAGCTACAGCATGAATTACAAACCATAATTCAGGAGCTGCCATCGGCTCATTTAATAATATATAGAGGCATGTTTGTGCATCAGTCACATGTATTATGGGTGAGTAAGCATGTTCACAGATACCCTGTACTTTTTACAGCTACAGATGATTATTTTGAGAAGTTCACAAGCACTAACTGGTAGCTTATATAGTATTTTGTGAGGTCATACCTCAGGTGGGTCTTCATAAGTCCTCCAAGGAGATTTCTGAGTGAGCTTAAAAAAGAGAGAAGGTTTAATGAGTAAGGTTTTATCTCTTGTCAGTGAATACACTTTACTTTTGTGAAGGCGATTATTCAAGTCTCATTGTATGAAGTTTTATTCAGTCTTAGAGTTCGTCCAATTATGAAAGACGTGGTGTGATTCATTAGACAAGGCTCTGGATGAAGGTCTTGTTTTAAAAGTGCTACCCAGAAAATGTTCATTCACATCTCCTGAATTTACTAAAATGTAGAAGTTTATTCGACAATATACAGAGAGCATCACAGAGAGGCTGAGGCAGTGTGAAGTAAAGATGGGAGGAGTTCAGTTCTCTATAAAAATAATTCTCAAAATTACAAAGAATCTGGGAGTTTCATGGTTAAGATCACACAATATCATTCAGAGGTTCAGATATTCTGTACAAATCCTTGTACACAGCTGGCAAGACCAAAAAACAATATCTATACTCTCTAATGTTTCTATATTAGAATATAAACTACCAGGAAATAATAAGTATGCAACACTTAATCAGGTGTATTTTCTTAGAGTATTACACAAGTCAGGATTGTCCAAAAGATAAACTCTCACAATAGCCTGATTTCCTGTCTTTAGTATATCTGATAGTCTGAGATCCCAATGAAGCGAATCACTAAATGCATTCAGGCAGCACACCTGCCACTGAGCAGCAGTCACAGACTGTTAACCTCAAGATCTGGAAGTGTTTGTGAGTCAACGAAGCTTCACAAACTCTGTCAGCGTCTGCCTTTGTCAAAGTTTAGTTACATAAGGAGAGATTTAGGTTCTTCTTAACTATTGTTGGAGTGAGAGGATTCACACTCAAGTTCACTCAGAAAGCTGCACAGACTATAAGGTAAGGAAAGTTGCATTCAGTGTTTTATAGGGCTAATGTTTGTCTAAACTGATATTAGGTAGCTGTTATAATAATCTGGCACATGGAAACTATGATTAAATCAAATAAAAAGCTGAGAAACTACTGCTATAGAGTTGATTATCTAAATGACTCAGTTGTAAGAAAGGCAGCCAGATTTGTACAAAACTGTACACAAAAGAAATGCTGTGGAATTCATTCACTCGACCAGAAATATTATCAACCATTTGGATCAGCTTGCTTTTGAAGTAACAATCCATCTGAGCATTACACAATGCAGGCAGATAACAGCTCTGTGCTTCCCAGAGTCCAATCATACACAACTTAAATTGTAGCCTTTTTCCAGGAAACATGCTGAGCACTGTCACCATTCAAACATCTCCAGAAAGACAGTGTTTAAGTGAAGTGTAGCAGCTTCCGCAATAGTACCTGTTTGTGTACCGTCAAGTAGTCTGTTCAAGGTTTTGATTCATAGATAAAAATGTTGAGATACTGTACATGGTCCTGTTAGTGGTTGAAAACAACCCCGAGGCCCCCCACTGGGAGCTTTTTCATCCTGACTGATTTGTGTGTTTTCATACATTGTGTAGCTAATGTGCACTATAACGAAAAAAATAAATAAATAAATCCAAGGTTGCTTAGTGTGACAACCAACTGCAGCAGAAAAAGAAGACTCAGAAACTGACAGCACTTTGTGACACAAGATTAAACACACCATCGTCATCTTTTGGATGGCGTGTCATACAGCCTCTTTTTTGTCCTTTCATTTTTGGACAGAACAAGTCTTAGAGAAAAAAAAGATTTATTTTTTTTAGACTATAAAACAATGAACCGTTTTCTGATATTAGTAAAGGAGAAACTTTAGTCATAAAGGCAATCTTAGTTGTTCAAAGACTATTAGTTTTTGGTTTTTATCAAGATGAAGATTGTTATGATAAAGAAATATGATGATGATGATGATGATGATGATGATGATGATGATGATGATATGTAAGGATCGTGTTTAGTGAGCGATTCTTCTACAATTGAATCCTGAGAGGATCAGATAACACCCAGAAATGATGATAACGATAATGATGTTGACGATTACAAGGGAAGTGGTGGTGATAATGATAAAGCAGTCCTTCATTTCAATGTGTCATATTTCATCGTATAAAAAAAAGGGTGGGTGGGGAGCTCTTCTTTGGCTTTTTTCACTCAATGTCCTTATTTTTTCACTTGTTATCCATCTTCATTTTCATTGTGCAAAAATCCTCCAGGTGTTTCATCAACAAACAGGAAGTCAATGTTTAAACCCCTCGAATGAAAACAACCAACAGCTGAGTGACATGTTGTGTTCATGTGTTTTGTTTTGGTGCAGACACCTGCAGGAGAATGACGCTCCAACCACTGACTCCAGTGAACTGTGGTGGTCTTCTGCAGCCCGGCTGCTCTATGCTGCAGCTGGACGGGGAAGTTCTCCTGTTTGGCCAGAAGGGGTGGCCCAAGCGCTCATGTCCAACAGGGGTGTTTGGGGTTCGACTCAAACATGGTGAGATGAAGCTGAGGGCCATCTCCTTCTCCAATGACTCCTGTTACCTTCCTCCATTGCGTTGTCCAGCCGTCTGCCGTCTCGACCCTTATGATGGGCTTCCTGAGAGCTACCTCATCCATGGGGGCCGTACACCAAACAATGAGATCTCTTCCAGCCTTTATGTGTTGACCATGGATAGCCGTGGCTGCAATCGCAAGCTGACCCTGTGCTGCAAAGAGAAAGAGCTGGTCGGAGAAGTGCCAGTAGGCAGATATGGCCACACTATGAGCATGGTTCAGAGCCATGGAAAGACAGCCTGTGTGCTTTTTGGCGGTCGATCCTACATGCCAGCAGGAGAGCGGACCACTGAGAACTGGAACAGCGTCGTTGACTGTCCTCCTGAGGTGTTTCTTTTTGACTTGGAGTTTGGTTGTTCCTCTGTTCACTCTCTACCTGAGCTATGCAACGGATTGTCCTTTCATTTGGCCTTTTCCAGAGAGGACTGTGTCTACTTCCTTGGCGGTCACTCTATTTCATCTGATTCCCGCCCTCCTCGACTCTTCCGCCTGCATGTTGAACTTCTGCAAGGCAGTCCTTTGCTTTCCTGTGAGACTCTAGACACAGGCATATCCATCTCTAGTGCCATAATCACTCGCACAGGTCCTTCTCACAGATATATCATCTTGGGTGGGTATCAGTCAGACTCTCAGAAGAGGATGCAGTGCAGCATGGTTACTCTGGATGAAAAAGGGATTCACTTGGAGCCCTTGGAGTCACCTAAGTGGACCCAAGATATTGTCCAAAGTCGCACTTGGTTTGGTGGCGGAGCTGGTGAGGGAAAGATGCTGTTTGCTGTACCAACAGAGGGAAGGTCATCTCAGCCTGATGCACATTATTTCTATCATGTGAGCTTTGAAACTGAAGGAGAAGACAAAGGGGAAGAAGGAACGCAAGGATGCAGCCAGGAGTCGACAGATTATGACGAGTCCCCTCCTCTTGAAGACTCAGAGGAGCTCTACTTTGGTCGTGAGCCTCATGAACTGGAGGACAGCAGTGATGGGGAAGAAGATACCTACAATGAGGACGATGAGGAGGATGAATCACAAACAGGCTACTGGATCAAATGCAGTCTCGAATGTCATGTGGATCCCAACACATGGGAACCGTACTACTCCACTGAGCTCCATAGGCCGGCAATGATCTTCTGTTCCAGAGGGGAGGGGGGACACTGGGTCCACGCCCAGTGCATGGAGCTGTCTGAGACACTGCTGCTTAAGCTTTCTCAGGGTGGCAAAAAGTACTTCTGTCTGGATCATGGGGGTCTGCCCTACCAGGAAATGACCCCACCACGACAAATAACGCCTTTGAAGCGGACCCCCATGAAGGTTAAGGACAGGAAGACTCCAACAATGAAGATATCCCCGGTCAAGAAAAGCTTTTTCCGCAGGCTCTTTAACTGAATCCAGTTTAAATGATCATTATTTGTTTGCGCTGTCAGTGTTCAGACACCTCTGTACAATATTCTGATATTAAATTGTGTGCTGATGTATTGTAGTCTTTTTGTGAAAACTTTATGAAAAAATAAACAATAAATTGCATCCTGTTACTTCATTTGTGACAGCTGTTTATTATCATCAGCTCCAAATGCACATTACACTTCTCAATTAACACTTAGATCCTACATTTAGCATCATCAGCTTAAGATTTTTTTAAGAAAAAATTTAAATCAAAGAAAATTTAATAAAAAGGAGTCTTAATATCTTTATTATTTTCACCTTTTACAAGCTTTTATATGGCAGAAAGCTCTAAAAAACTCGAAGAAGTATTTGAACTTTTACTAGTTATTTATCTGTTAGTTGCATAACAGTTAATTGGTGCTCCACACTGAGAGAGGCTGTGTACCAGGACTAAATGTCCCTGTGTCCTGTCTTTTATTACAACTTTAAAATACTGTAAAACATGAATTGATTGATGTGGGACCCATAAGTTTAGATGTACTGTATATAAAACATGGGCACCCCCCATCTGCATTTATTACCCCCGCCAAGGAGGTTATGTTTTCGGTAGTGTTGGATCCCATTAGATTTTGGTGGTGATCCGGATCACCTTCTGGATCCAGGAATTTTTTGAAGGATTCTTTATCATTGTGAGATAGGGCAAATTTTGGAATTTTTGCATTTAACTCTATAAAAATGTCCAGAGTCTTCAGTCAAAAATTACACAAAAGGATCTCAATGTGTTTTATGAGGTGTCAAAGGTTGATCCTGATCCAGACAAAATTCTGGATACTGTGATCCAGAACACACAAAAATAAGGTAGTCGTTGGAATTTTCAATGCTGAAAGATAACCAATGAAGATACAAGGAAGTGTACGCTTACAAATATTGCATAATAAATCATGCATTTATGTATCTAATATGAGCTTTGTTGTTTTAGGAACATTATGAACAGTGAACATACCAGTTTAAACACAAATAAAAGTTAATAAAAGACACGTAACAGTAAAAGTTTTGGTGTGAATCACAATATAAGGGGGGACATGAGCTGCTTGGCGGAGGTCTGCGCTCTCTGAGTGCTTTTCTAGTTATTTATTTTATTATTATTTACCATCATTATTTCTCTTTTGCCATTATTTAATTAACAGTAGTTGGTCTGTATGCTGATTAATTTAGCCATAAGTGTGTGTGTGTGTGTGTGTGTGTGTGTGTGTGTGTGTGTGTGTGTGTGTGTGTGTGTGTGTGTGTGTGTGTGTGTGTGTGTGTGTGTTAATGTGAGGCAGAGAATAGAGATTAGTGCAGGCACTGTGGACAGCCAGGGGTCGAGCTAGGTCCTCAGGGTCAGGAGGAACGAAGAACAGTGTTTCACCTTATATATTCACATTTTGATAGGAGGTACATTACAGTGGCCAACTGCACAAATTGTGTAAATGTGGAAGCAGTATGTGTGAGAATGTTTACGGTTTTAAGTTCAGTAAGGCGTGTATGTATGTGCTGTAGTGAAACAGAGCGACCACGTTAACTTACCATGTCTGTATTACTGTGTTGTCAGAGATTAAAAGTAGGACACAAACTTCATGCACGTTTAGAAGCGAATTTGTCTGAGTGTGCAACATTAATGAAAAACACAACCAAAGATCAAGTCAGATATTCACACAGTTTATTCTTTGGTAGACACCAAATCAAGAAAGTACAGACTTCTCTCTTTATAAAAGTATTTCATCAAAGGGAAAGAAAAAGAATTACTCCAGAAAAAACAATATTAACTGTAGTTTAACATTGTGTGGAAAATAAATCACAAGTGGTTTGTGTGCGGGGAAAAAAAAGAAAAATCATGGTGAAAAGTAAACTGCAGTGAATCATCCATCATCCTTTACTTTGGATGTGCAATTCATTATGGTCAAAACACAAATATGAGACACGCTGCAATGTAATGCACTCTATAGCATGATGTTATTGTAGGACTATGACAACCACAGAATGAACTGTGAATATTTCACAGCTGTCATGTGGTTAAACTTACGACATCAAACAGTCAGTCAAATAAGAAAACAAAATTGCCTGTCACAAATGAAAATTGTGGGAGCAAAAAGAGAAAAATAATCAATCAAACAAATAAAGTTGCCAAGAAATCAGTTTACATGAGGTCTTTCTGGCTCCCGCCCATCCCTCTTCTCTGTCAGCTGAGCCAATGAAGAAATATCAGCCAGAGAAAAAGAGCCAGGTTATATACAAGACTTAAGAAAAATCCCTGCCTTCTGGAGAGTCCATGGGGTATTAGGCTTGGTAATGGACCATACTGTATTTTATGATATCAACAAAAAAAGGTCAGTATATGCTTCGTTTTATGTGAAGAAGTGGAATAAGTATCATCTATTCCACTGTGCAAAAACTAAAAGAGATAAAATTGGTTCAAAGTGACCTGGCATCTATTTTGGCCCTCAGGGATCCTAAGATAAAGCACTAAAGTAATCTTTTTCAGAGGGCACTCATGAAACAAAGAACATTTGGGTCTCTGTGATTGCATTTCGCTTCAGCTCAAAATGATATATTAATACACTGGGCCACAAATGTGGTCTTTTTAACACAATTTTCCTCCATGAGTTACAGCTCTTTCATCTGTTTCCATAAATATCACCTCTATATAAATTCATAAATGTGTCATACCCTTGCAATACAATAAACTGCTCCATATTTCACAGTCGGTGAAGATAAAAAAAAGAACAGGGAGAAAGGAGACTGTGCGTTATCTATGTTCTCCTGTTGTCTCATCTGCTCTGTAAGTATTTAACAGCTAGCCTGCTGATGTGATATAAATGTACAGTACATGTAAAGCAAATTTTCACAACAAGGCAAAAAATAACCATTTGAAATTAAAAACAAGAACAACAGCCATTCAAACAACGGTGTAGGAGAAACATTCTCCAATTTATTTTTCCATTATTTTATGTCCTGCCTCCAGCCAGACATGGGCTCCATTCTCCCTCTATCTTTTTATCAATCAATGGGTAAAGAGTGTCAATTAAGAACTGTTGAACAAAGCCATTTACTAATAAAGGCAAGTTAAATCTCTAGAACTACAACAAAAAACAACTTTAATGGGGCGCTCACACCAAGCGCAGGTAAAATCATCTACTCATGTAATCAGCGCGAAGCTGGATGCGTGAATGAATAGTATTTACTCACTTTATTCGCACGTCAATGGTAATTTCAACGGTAATCCCTGCCAAATCAAGTGATGGGCAAAGGTTTTCTACAATTTACCCGGTAATCCGACCTCCTTGCTCACTTGCCTCCAGGCGAGCTCCTTTTTATTACATACTTGGTGATTGAAAGAAAAAGGTACCATATAGTTCAGGGTACCGACATGATCGGTTTGTTCTCCATTTTAGATACCAGTGAATGACCGTCCGTTTTCATAAGTCACCTGGCAACCTTCGTGCTAATTGGTTATTGCAATGCAAATATCTGCTCAAGTAGAGACAATTTTGGCTCCTACCCAATTCGAATCAGTCCCGCTGCCAGAGTAGTGCGGGTGTCTAAACGCGTCTTTACATTGACATAACGTAATTCAGTCGCATAAATGACTTTACTCATGCTTTGTGTGTGGAGACAAAAATACTGTAGTTTAACATGAAAAGACTGATCAAAAGTCATCCATGTCCAATGACATGTACTCATCATCCTGGCTCTCCACTGGGTGAATGGTGGCTTGCATAGCTTTGGCAGAGTCTTTGTGAGCTTCCATAAACTTCTGCAGATACTTGGAGGTGTAGAGCCAGTGATGTTTCAGCACATCCTCCAGTTCAAAAGCCTTTGACTGACGTGCGTTCATCTTTCGGAAACGCCTGAACAGTTTGTTGGCTGATTCATTCCCCTCGCTGGCCCAGGCCCCGATGGAGCCATCTCTCTCTATGATTTCAGGCACATGGGCCAGGGTCTTGTGTAGGTAATTGGTTATTTTTCCGTTGTACCTGTACTTGAAGGCGGAGGAGAGGAGGTCTGCAAAGCGCTGTGAGTTGAAGCTGTAGCGGCACAGCTGGTCAGGGCACTCCTTTGCCGGGCATGTGGCACGCCAAACAGGCTTCATCTGTAGGTACAGTCTCATGAGCTCTCTCAGGGCCTCCCTCCTCTCCTCTGAGGGCACCAGCTCACACACCACCTCCATCGCCTCCGTAGTCATCAGCTTGCGGGCATAGTTCCCGTTCATCCTCATCACCGGTTTGAGTTTCATTTTCTTCCTCAGTTGTTTGTCCAGGGCTGCCCTCCAGCTGCGGCGTTCCTCACGGCTCGGGTTGGGTTTTTGGTAAACCTCTCCAATCTCGTCCTGGTAAATTTTGTAAAACTCGGTGGCATTGCTGATGTCACAGTGTAGAGCGTCAAGTGTTGGTTGGGTCTCCATAAAGGGCTTGGCAGATACTCCTTTGACTCTTTCTCTCAGCTCCTCTGCAGATTCTGAAAAAGGGTTGGTTCGCCAAATTTCGTAACGCTCCAGGTTCTCCTCGTGACTGCGGGTGATGCAGTGCAGCACCATGTTTTCTGAGGCCTCTGCTCGACTGGAGTCACAAAGAGTGCAGATGTAGGTGGACCCTGAAGCTTCCAGGCCCTCCATCTCACGCACCATCTTCTCATCATACCCAGTGCCCCTGAAGTGAAAGCGGAACGAGCGAGGCAGTCCACCTATAGACAGGATGAGCCTGCTTTCTTTCATTGCTTTACGCTCTGCAACTACAGGGCTGAGGACTGATGTGAGTGTCTCATGGTCGGACTCGTCCACGAATGTCAGGCAGAGGGGTTTACAGGACAGCTCTGAGTTCGGCTTTGGCTCAGTAAAAATGGTAATATCTTCCTCCACATTTTCTGCCCGTAGAGAGACAGACATGACAGTGAAAGAAAAACGCACAGCCTTCTCAGGAACAGCTGGTCCTCCGCCATGCTTCTCGCTGGCATCACCCATCCCGTCACAAGATTCCTTGATCATGACACTGAAGCCCGAGGTACAAGCACTGTCTTCCAGCCCACGCTCTCTCAGCCCCTCCATGATGTCCTCCTCCAGATCCTTTAACGCTGACACCAGTGCTACATCATAGCGAAACCTCCGAGTGATGGTGTCAGCCAGGGAGTCATCCACAGATGAGGCCCATCCAGAGAGCCCATTAATAATGCCCACATTGCAAGATGTAGACACATTCTTGAGGGCTGGCTGCCACTCAAACTGGTGAAATCCAGGGAGAAGCTCCTTTTCTGCAGCTCGCAGAGTGTGCAGGGGCTGAAAGATCTGGCGGCCACTGGTGGCTTTGACGGTCCTGTACATTTTATGATACTGGCTGCAGCTCAGGAAAGTGTTGACCCGAATGGCCAAACACACAGCAGGATGCAAGCCGAAGCCTCTGCCTGCATAGAGAGAGAGAAAAAACAAGACGAGAAAAACTTTTAGAGAGAGACAGTAAGAGGCAAAGTCTGTAAGAGTATGGGGAGCAGAAAGGATTGTGACTTGAAGAGAATAATTTAACACTAAACTGTGGGATCCCATTTCCATTTATACTTTGAAAAGAACTGCCATATTTAAAATTTCCTAGTTTGATACCCTACATTTGGAGGCAGTTATACTCTCAGACAGAGAATGTCATAAATTTAACACCCAAATTTCAAGGTATCATTGTCAAAAGCTCACAAACCCATGATTACAAGACCCAATTGTGCCTAATTTCCAAATGTCACAAGGGGACAGAGGGTGAATCAGTGACGCTGGCAAAAGTGATGTATTGGCTGCAGATGAAAACAGACACCAGCTGGCTTCTATTCCCAAGAGAGGACAGTGGTGCTGTCTGTGTAATTTGCAGATACAGGAGCTGCTGATGTTGTTTTGATTCTAACAGCCCCTTCACAGGAGTTGTTATTGTGTGTTTAGGAGAGTGTGAGACTGAAGGACTGACAGACAGTCAGAGTGAGAGTGGCAGAGCATTAGGAACAGGTTGGGCATGTTAAGGCAGTGGTTCAATTCACAGAAAATCATGAAATCACAGAAAAACATCTTTGATCACCCAGAAAATGAACAAAACAATTGATCGTCAGCTTTGAAAAGTATATTCTGACATATTAAAACGCAAACATTATAACTGTCTCAAGGTTAAGAAGCCACACTATAATACTACCTTGCATTATGGCCTCTAGCTCATCTGCCTGGCGGTGATCGTTTGTAGATCTCAGTGCAAGCAGGAACAGAGTCTGACAAACAGACTTGAGGTCTCCACCTTCCTCTTTGTCTGCAAAGACCTTCACCTGGTTCTTCAGCTCCCTCAGCCGATGCTTCTGGGCACGGCGGGTAAGCATTAGCAAGTGCTGACGGGGTCTTCCCCCTTTGTTGGCTAGCAGGTAGTTGTTGAGTTCTGATGATGGCTGGTCTGCATCCTGCTCATCCGCTTCATGGCTCAGACAATGAGCTTTAAATGAGTCCAGGCTCACTTGCTTTCCACAGCTACTGTTAGGGCAGGCTACAGGTAGAGACAGTAGGGCTGATAGGAAGGTTTTGGCAGGCCTTGTGAGATCATCAGGGGTGCAGGGCAGGTTGCAGGCAGGGCAGTGTGGTCCCAGAACGTAGTTATACTTTATAATACAGCTCCGGCAGAAGAGGTGCCCACAGGGGGACTGGGTGGGATCAGAGAGCAGGTGATCACACACTGCACAGGTGAAAGATGAGAGGAAATCTGCTGGGAGATTCTCAGAGAGCAGCTTGGTACTGAGGTGCTCATTCTGGCAGTGGGTGATATTCTTCACCCACTGCTCTCTCTGGATGGTGGGTCTGCTCAAGCCCCTAAGGGGACAGTTTCCAAATGGTCTCAGAGCTCTTTTCTCACCAACAGTAATACTGTGTCCATGGTCCCACCTTGCCTTTTTTGCTAGACTCTGGGCCCTTGGAATGAATTTCTTTCTCTTCCTCTTGGTCCTCTGGAGTGAAGGTTTCCTGGAGATGCAGAGGTGGCAGTGGGAAGTGTGAGGTTTCCACTCTTGGACTTTAGTTCTTGAGAAGCTGCAGAAGCCTCCTCCACGAATGGCGACCATCCAGCAGCGATGGCAGAAAGACAGAGGATGGGCAGATTCTGTATCTTCTGTCACATCCACTTTAAAGACTTTGAGGATCACCTCTGGCCAGCTTGTTAACTTGCAGCCCATTTTACGCAGAGCACCTTTGCTGGCCTCATCCAGATCTGCATGGACATCATGCACCGGTCCTCTGACTTTCTTTAGAGCCATCCCACACAGACGACACAAGCACCTATAGAGAGAAAAGAAACAGACAAATGCTTGAAAGTAATTCTAAATCGTAAACTTCATGATGTTTGTTTTAAGAAGACTTTTCATTACCTGAGGTGGTTCATATGGGTGTCCATTTCCTGCAGCTTTATATCCACCCTCCTGCCTGGCCCCTCCACATTTTCCTTGCTTTTTCCACCCAAGCATAATTTCATGACACTTCCTGGATTCTCACCATTATCTGATTCTATATCTGGAGCTGAAGAAGGTGAGAATCCTAACAAGACCCCTTTCCCAGGTTGTGTCTCACTGGGCAGCGGGGCTTTCTCCATTGACCTCACCCTAAACAATTTGAACTTCCACTGAGAAAAATTTGAGTGGGGATAATGCAGCTCAGCTGGCATGGAGGATCTGGGGCCATCTGTCTCCTGGCTCGCCTCCGCCATGATTAGATTCAGACCTCGGACCCTGAAAAAGAGAGGAGAGCGTGTTTAATAAATCACAGAAGCACAAAGATAATTCCTTCTGTCTACGAGAAACCCTTTTGGAGGATAAATAGAGAGGATAAGATGTGTCAAATGCTCAGAAACCTCCTGTGTCATCATAACACCGAGCCCATGACACAATCCAACAGCAGCCCTTCATTCCTGTTGAATTTACACACCAGGTACTCTAAAATCCCACCGAACAGAGAGCAGCAATCCCTGAACTAAAGCGCTATATTATACCAAAAGTGGCATTTAGATCTTGTGTAAAATGCATGAGACAAGTGCTGGAGGGATCGATACAGCACCAAAAATCTTCATTTCTCTCATCTCCAATCCCATCGCTCAGGGAGCCATTGTGACTCTTTTCCTTTGACACAGCGAGTTTGCTAAATGGGCAACCTTATCCCTGCGAGGCTGTCAATCATTTATATTAGTCATTTTCTTGGCTGGAGAGAGAAATGGAGCCTCAGGAGCCTCCGACTGGCATTTTAAATTCAAAGAAAAAAAACACAGAGACATGGTAAATGTGTTTCATAATACATAGATATTGACCCAACAGGAGACAAAAGAAAACAAGGCGGCATCATATTGAATAAAGATCCTGAAGAATTATTCAAAACAGAAAATAGTTCAATTGAGGAGCTGTATTTCAGCAGCCAAGTGCTGCTGTGATACTGCAAAGGTAAGATAGATGATACAGCTGCTATGACAGACCCTATTTCATCCCCTCTCATTCTATCTAGGTACCATAACCAGTTTAGACAATAAAACAAACAATCTTACCATCACAGACCCACAGTGCACACTCGCCAGCATCCTCCAACTATCCATCTTTCAGTGACTATATTTTCTAGCTCGGAGCCTTGAATCTGGCCATCTTTTTGGTTTCCTTGCCCTCAGTGTACTTCACATACTGAACTCTCCTTTAAGACAAACAGCTGAGCCTGGGCATCTGTGTATCAGCTGGGCTCTTACCTTGTTTTTCAGTCTCAGCTGGCGTCAAATCCCCTGGGGGTGGGTCTCTCCACATGGGTGCACAAGGGAAGCCCTGGAGCCAGGCCTTTCACACCACATATACAGTAAATGTTTGAGTCTGTCACAGCGTGGAGCATCTGTTACCAGGAGTTGTGGCTCCATACAGTGGGATAACTCTCTCTGTCTCCCCATGTCTTGTATTTATACCCCTTGGTGGGATCCAACAGTCAACTCCTGACACCTGATACACACAGCTGATTTGAACAAAAAAAACAAGGTCAACCTCAAAGCACAGTTGCAAACATGTGTACATACATAATCCAACAGCAGTACCCTAAACAAACCCTTTTTTTTTTCTTCACCACACTATAGTGATCCCCAGCTGGAAACACTTTAATGTCACCTTTATCTCCCCTTTGCTGTGTGTAACTGCAGGCTCAGCTCATCCAGGTGGCCTCCCTGACAGAAAAACACATACTGTTGAACTTGATAAAAAAAAAAGTTACAGCAAGAAGGGAAAGAGAGGAATAAAAGGTTTATAACTTACATCCTTGTAATCTTGACAGTACAAATTTATAACAAGCCTTAAAAAAATATTAAAAAGAAAGATCTAAAAAGAAAACCTGCGAAAAAACATATCAAAGTGTGATTACGAGTTGGTACGAGAGTAAACTTTCATTTGTTTGTTGTTGCTGCCCTCAAGAAGTTTGAGAAGTGTAAGACTTAACTTTGCACTAGTTTGTTGATTTGATCGTCAGATTATAAGGGTCATAATGTTAATGTTTCAAACGGAAATTATGGTTTCCAAGAGAGAAAAAAATAATAAGCTGATCTAACAAAGTGATCTGTCCATAGATGGAAAATGGTTTATATAAATGTAAATGAATATGATCTGAGTGGGTTTGTATGTGAGCTGAGCAGTGATTAAGAAATGTGTGAGAATGTGAAAAAGAGTGGGTGCAACACCAGAGGACAAACAGTTTTCAGAGCAATATAAAGCCATTTATGCAGACAACAATACCTACGACATGAACTATTGATGTGTAGGTAAACCACAATATACTAGAATATGTATTTCAGTGCTTTACATCAGTCATCCGCGTCAGTTGTATGTATGAGAGACCTTTTTTTTGCATTAGTTTGATTTATGCCCTCTAACTCTCTCTCCGTACATCATCTTCACATTCTTCAATGATTTCTCCAAAAGCCCATCTATGGTTTATAATAACTTCTATTGATGCTGAATTAGACAGCATTATCTAATGTGATGTCTCAGTAGGTAGGGGGAGTATTTGCCCAAGATCATTCTTGTTTGTAATTATCCAGGGGATTAATCTGGTGTTTTCGCCACAGGAGCCTGTTGCTTTAGCGTTGGATTCGCCAGCCAAGTCATTAGATACACAGTCAGTGGGCACCAAACAACAGTTGGGTCTCTCCCACTCTCGTCAGCATAACAGGGGCGAATACTGGCAAGCTTTGCTGCCTATATTTGGTACATATGTTCATATTTGACCTTAGACAGTACAGTATTTTACAGTTTTTTAGTTTCTTTGTGAGAGAAACTTATTTAATAAAAACACTGAAGAGAAAGCAAATGACAAAGTAAGTGTCAAAAGGTGGTTTTCCACGTAAATCCATCAGACACAGCTGAGAGATTTGAAGTACACAAAGCTTGATTTATAATGTATCAAAGAACAAGCAAATGATGGATTATACTGAGATGTTCCCAGCCTATTTATAGCTGATATTTAGATTTACGATGACTAGCTAGCCACATGTTTCCAGAGGTAAATGACACGCCTCGCTCCATGGCAAACAGGGACAGAGCTGCAGATGTCTGCATGACAAACAAGCGCTGACCCCCCGAGACCCTCATCTTTCCACGCCTGCTAATTGACTTGTTATTGATCAACTCAAAGACAGTCTGATTTATGGGAAAGAGGACTTGTGAAGACAGCCACCTGGCATGGAGCAGAGTGTTATGAATGTGGGGAGCAGACCCTGTGGGACTGGAGGCTGCAGTTTAGGAGGACATGCAGGAGTTTGCAATGCACCACTGCACTGACATCTTGCACGGGGAGGGTGTTTTTCTTTTGTCTAATGTGATAAATCCAAAGAACAGCAGTGAGCCACAAGCATGTTGTAGGAGTGTGCAATATATCATATTCACTCAACAGCCATGTTGAGGGTGGAAATATAAATAGTGGTGTAATGTTGTAGCACTAAATCATAGATTTAAAGTTGTATACCTGTGAGAGCTGTAATGATTGCTTTCTATTTCTCAGCTGCTCAAAAGTTAATAAAGAACTAAGAAGAAGGTTTATATTGTTTTTCTGTCTTAAGCAGTTTTAGTTTTCAGCCTCTTTATGATTTGAACGCTGAAAGCAATATCAAAAAATAAGTAAAAACTTGATCATAGCTAGAGCACCAAGCCATTTCTTGGCAAACATTACATTAAGTTCTTTAAGTATATCAGCCACTCTAGCCAGACTAATTGGTTAACTTTTTCAGTTGCAGAGTGGTTGTGTGACAGAGATAATAAACCGACAGAGATAAATCGGTGCCTTAGATACATATATCAAAATCCCCAGGTCAGATATTAGACATTAGGGCAACGTTTCAGCGTCCTGAGCAGGATAAATCATTGGAATGTATGAAAATAAGTGCTGTGTGATACTGTCACATTTTTATCATGCTGTACTATGACATTTTTATCCTACTATACTTTGACATTTTTATCCTACTGTACTATGATATTTTTATAATACTTTACTATGTTTTTTTAAATGATACTATGACATTTTTTATCATACTATTCTGTGATATTTTTATCATACTATACCATAATATTTTTATCAAACTATACCGTGACAGTTTTTTCATACTACAATATGAAATTTTATCATACTATACTATGACATTTTATCATACTAAACTAATATTTTAACATAGTATACAATGATATTTTTATTATAATAAAACTAATTTTTTAACATACTATACAATGATATTTTTATTATAATATACTATGACAACAACAACAAAAAAAGAAAAAATACATCAAAAAGGCTGCTGTATGAATATGGTCAATGACAGGGATTAGCATGATGGCACACAGATATTGTGTTTGGGAACAGATGAAGAGAAATGGGTTGGTATAAGAGGGACTGTGCTTTTTTTAAGAGCGAGCCAGTGTGTAGGAGACATCCACCAAGACCAAATAAATACAAAGCAGTCCATCTAATCCTCCTTTGAGAAACTTCAGAGCCATTACATCTGGGTCAGTGTGTGTAAAACAAAAGAGGAAAGGTGCTAGAGGTGAGAGACAGAGAAAGGGGGATATAATCGTGATCTTGTGTAAAGGAGTTGCACAGGATAACAGGCTTAGCACCAGGAGGAGAACACAAAAGGGCTTAAGGCTGATTGCAGTCTGTGACAAGAAAAGGGGGGAAAGAGATCAAGCCTTCCAGGCAGAACTATGTAAGCCAAAGGTCCAAAAAAACAGCTCGAGTCTCACAGCAGCTCAAGGAAAAGTGTCAATAGCAGAGATGGGTAGTGGATGAATGAATTCCACAAGCAGCTTCGGTGTCTTCCTCATGAGAAATAAATGTCGGCTTCATCCACATTTGAATAGACCGACCAAAATTGCTGCATGATATTTCTAAATGTCATGCAGAGTGTAGGCATCTTTGTGATTGTATTCTGGGTAGAGAGGGCATTTCACTCTCATATTTTCACTAAAAGTTATGCAATATATGGAGCGTCCAGTATGCAAATCTTTAATTGCGTTTTCATAGCACGTCTGACAAACATCTTCAGCCTCGCCCAGCCAATTTCTGAGGAGTCACCTCCCCACTGTCCACCTCTCACATCCCTTATCCAGTGTCACACTGTGGAGGATTAATACTCAAAGAGGTGGATTTTAATGCAGAGCTATTCGTCAAAGCTACCTGCCAGAACAAACCCCCTACCCCACTGCTCAA